GTTTACTTGTTTTTTTCCCCCTTTTTTTTGTTTTACAAAAGTTTTCCACCGGTTGAATTGAAGTTGAAGCTATTAAACTTCAGTACCCAACTATTTTTTGGAATTACGATTTTGAAGTCGAAGTTAATGGGTGTTGCCAACCTAAAAAATTAAGATTTGAAGAAAAAGCAAATCTTTAAGCAATTTTTGGAAGGGACATTAGTCTGAGAACGTTACCACATACTATCCATTTCCTTGTTGCCGAAAGTTATCCAGAATGCAGTTTAAATAATTTTAACTTTGGGCTGGCGCAGTTTACGATATACATACATATATAGTTTTAAGGAGGTTTTAAATGAATCTGAATACCTCATAAGTGCGCTGTGTGTGATACTTGTGTTATAGTTTCTAGCAAATTTGTTAAAATAGATTTCCCTTTACGAAAACCGTGCTGAGAAGAAGAAATTAGTAGCGAAATCCAAGAAGTCTTTCGTGTGTTATAATTGGCATTTATAAATAAAGGATTATTTTATTATATTTAATTAACATAAGACGTCTACTTCGGAAATGGTGGGTGCATTATTTCCAGAAAACGGTCATAACTTGTGCTGGTACGGAAAATTTTTAGGAGAGTTTGAAGAGTAATTGGACCAAAAAAATTCAGTATACATATTAGAAATTAAGTGAATATCACTGGACATAGTAGACTTATATTTCATTGCAGATGGAAAATTAGAAATCTTGCGTTTGGAGTTGACGAAACCATAAAACAATAGCACAATATATAGCATTTTGGATTACATATAATACGTTTATATAATTATTATATTATATTTTGTTAAAATCAGCAAATTGTCGAAGCAATATATATATTTTGAAAAGTCAACAGCTAACTAGTTCTTTTAAAAAATGTAAAGCGCGAGATTTCTATTATTTAATTTAGATAACTCTCTTGAAACCCATAAAGTTGAACTTATTTTTTGAGTAACAACATATTTCGTAACATATCTTTCAAATAAATTTAAAATAGTTTCATTAAAATGGGAGACACTACATTCAATTTTGCCACTGTAATCTGGCCAAGTTACCTTAGAAAGTTCGCGATTTATTTTCTTAAAATTAGCGTTAGCATAGTTGAACCGCTAACAAATTTCTTGTGTATTATTATGAACTAAGTTGGCTATGATTTCGATATTAATTTCCAAAGCAGGATGATACGAGTCCTCTGGCAGAAACAAAGGGCAACAGAAAATATTGAAGCGTTATCAACGTAAACGAGATCTAAGAACTTACCAAACTTGTTTGAAATTAAATTTATTTGGTTAAGACCCAACTCCGACATTTCATCTAAGAACTCGTTTTAACATAAGCGAGCAGGAATGATGTAATGATGAATAGATTTCCATATAGCACAAAGTGAATTGAAATCTCCCAAAACAAACATGGAATCAGTATTATTAAGTAGCCACGGAGGAAACATTATTTATTAAAGAAGCATGCAGGATAAACAATATACATATAAGATTGAGACGATATATATAATGCAGTTAAGTAATAATGGCAACCATTAACTCAAATTCGAATGCACTTAATCACAATGAAGTCTGCATGAGGAACATCGWYTTCTTCAGACGCAATTGAAGAGTGTACAGAAAACAGAACACCACCTCCTATTCTGCTCAGCCGGTCATATATAAAGATTTCAAATTCGCTAATGAACTTCGCATTATCAAAAATGTGGGGCTTTGGCCAAGTTTCTGTGAAAGCAATAATTTTAAAATTACAATTAATGCTATTTGAAAACAAATCAGTAAATTTTGTATTAAGAACTCTAACATTTTGATAATAAATACTCAGCGAATTACTATTAATCAGTTTTTTGTTTCCACGGGTTTTCATGGCATTTTAGCAACAACTACATTGGGTTTATCGCATTTATGCTCGAATTCACGCAGAAAGAGATCAGATAAAGCACCAAATGAAAATTGTCAGCGGATATGTCTATCTTAAAAGACGAAATATTCCTGTCTTATTTGAAGTTTGATTTCGGGATCGTCCGTTTTTAATTTTGACAAAATATGTATAACACTTTATGTCATCAACTGTACGGATACCACAGCAAAACTTGAGAAGAAAATATACTTTTTTCACTTTATTACAACTAAATTTTTATTACCAGAGTTAGAGTTATGAGGAGGCGGATTCTAAGAAGTTTTTCGCTTACAGCTTTCTCTGAATTCTGAGCAGAGAAAGCTTATCTCCTTGAGAAAAAGGGGAAGAAAGATTAGAGGAGGTCAATGTTGGATGGATGAATTATTGGTTTTTACTGATTGAGTTGGGACCCGTAGTACGGTATTTCAAAACTTCAACCAAAATACTGTTGGCTTGAAAACCGATAAAGGGGATAAAGTAAAGTAAAAGTTACACATATCGTGAATTTTTGACAGGACTTCTTCAAAGTAATGAAACAGATAATGTATGTACATATGGATTTTATGAAAACTATAAATAATGTAATTGTGTAAAATTAAAAATGTTTCAAATTAAAAAGAAAATTGTGTTTTTTGTTACGTACTTCTAAAGACAAATGTGAAAAGCATTGAATATTACTTTATGGTTTCATGTATTACTTTAATTTTGCTTTCTAGTTATTGTTTAGTTTCGATGTTTAATCTTTAAGAGTTCTACTTAAAAATAGGCTAATTGATTTTAAGTTCTTATATCCTATATATTTTGTATTTACAATTGTACACACATACAAATCTCCTTCATATGCTATTAACTAGCATCTTAGTTATTTACAGTTTTATATTTTTTCAATATTATTTAATAACAAATATATTATTTACTTATATAAACATTTTCGTATTATTTTGCCAACAACCATCTATAAGTTAGCATATAGCACTTTAATTTTGAAGCACTTTTCTAAAATTGTCATAATACTTATCTGAGTATAAGTATTTCTCACATATAATATAATATTATTAGGATTTTTATCTGATTTACTTTGGTTTGCAACACACTATAATTCTTTATGGAGTCGCAAAAAATTTAACTCTAGAGATCACAATTTTTTTCAATCTGCTAAAATTCAAATATATTGGCGCCAGGGTTTTATAAATAATTATAAAAAATTATAGAATAAATCAGAATTATCATTGATATGATATGATAGTGCTTCTGTTTTATATGTCCCACTATTTCATTCTTATAATGCCACCATTATAATTTTTTGTAAACATTTAAACCTCTAGAAAATCCAATTATTTAATTTTCGTGCAGTTTATACAATGATTAATTCGGCTTTATTAGAAAATTAAAAAARTAAATATGACCAAGCTGTGAACATTTAGAAACAAAAAAAAATAATTGCGATCTTTATGGACATATTGGTTTTATACTTCCACAATTGTCAAAAAAATTAATTTTATGGGATTGGCCAATTTTATAGTTAATTTAATTAGCTATTGCACAATGCTAATATCCATTTAGTACTTATATAAATCTAATAACACTGATCAACTTTACTACTTATTAAGATGACATACAAACATTTCTCAAGTTTTGCTACATACATTATTTTTAACTTTCGAATTCGTAATTACAGTAGCCTGTAAGGGCTCATTGAATAATTTCAAGTACGGGGAAAATTGTATGTGAAATTAAAACTAATAGTTTATGCAGTAATCCAATTAATGAAGCCAAAGTCACGATGTTATATATCATTTAAGAAAATGTAGAGCAGATTATGTGCATATTTTCTTTCAAGATGATAGTTACTTACGTTGAAGACTTTTAAGTTATTAACACGGTTTAATTGAATCATCTTTTAAAAAAATATATGCGAAATAAAGTTTTTAAAAATCTGATCATTTCAAAAATATGTCCAAAACATCCTACATTGAAAAAACATTATCGAACTTGTTTTATGCAATAATTCGTTTATACCAACATTTTTATAAAATCAAAATGGAATTGTTTTCAAGTGTATAAAAGCATTAAAATGGTTCAATCTTCAGATTCATCTATACAAGGTGTATTTCAAAGTAAACAGGACTTAAAAAAAAAAACAGAACAAAAGTTTTTTTTCGGCATAATCAATTTATTTTATTTAAAATAGTCTCCTTCTGCTTCAATACAAGCATGTCGAACGAGTGTTTTAGCTTGTTGGCCGGTATGGCCGCCAGTATGTCGGTGCAATCCTTTTGAATGGCCTCCAATGKCTGCAAAACGCTTTCCTTTCTTGGGCAAATGCATTTTWCCAAAATGGAAGAAGTCGCACGGTGCCATATCAGGTGAATACAGGGTGTCGTTAATGGTTAAAGTGTACTTGTTTGTCAAGTAATCGGTTACAATTCCATGAATTTCAATGATGATTTCGGCTGATTTTTGATGAAATCAGGCACAGTTTTGATGGGATTTCCGGTGATCATGGATTTTGGTTGGCCCATATGTTGATCGTCATTTATGTCCTYACGATCACTTTGAAAACGTTTAAACCACTCGTGCCCTCTGCTACGGTATAGGCAATCATTGCTATAAACTTGTTTCATCAAATGAAACGTTTCGGTAAAAGTTTTACCAATTTTGGCTCTTTGTTCGAAGCTCATTCTCCACAGTAACTTCACTTCTAATAGATGAAATGTCATGAAATTGTCACTGGACAATCGATAGAGACAGCAGAGACTAACGCACCGAYATATAGATGGAGCCACCAGGGGGCGCTAGATTCAAAACCTCCTGTTTACTTAAGACCGCACCTTGTATACTGTCGATCTTTTTTAGTACTTATTAATTTAAAACTAAATTCCGGTTATTTAAACACAATAATTATGGAAATCAGAAAAATTAAACAAGAACAAGTTGTGTATTCAATGATTTTGTTTCTATCTAATGTAAAAGTTTTCAAATAAATTACGTTTGAGAAACTCTTTAATATCCAAACTATCCAATGAGTCTACAATTGTCGTAATCATTCTTCGAAGTGAACTTGAGGGTATATTTGTAAATTTTCGAATTTATATAAATTCTCGAAAAGGTTCATCATAACTATTATTGTTATCACTCGCATCAAAACCATTGTTGAGTAATAATGTAGTTGTTGTCGGTTGTTGTAACATCAATTGATTGTGATTCGCTTGCATTAGATGTTGCGACAATTGTGGCTGCATATGGCTGAGACTTTGATTCTGTATTTGTATGGTTGTGGTGGCGGTGGTTAGACGAGGTTGCTGATTCACCACATCTGCCGCAGCCAAGGCGCAATCGTACGAATTTGTGCCATTTGTTAGAACGTCATCATAACAGGGTCCAGGCCCAGGTCCAGGGCCAGGCCCAGAGCTATTGCCGCCACCACCAGCATTGAGATTTAAAATGCCAACGCCAACACCAACGCCGAGTCCAACATCACCAACTCCGCCAATACCGCCATTGCCGGTTAGATCRGTAGTGGCGCCATTCAAAATTACACCATTCAAATCCAACGATGACTCTTCATTGCGCTTCGAGAGAATTATGTGCGTTAAATTTATTATGTARTTTTTCGCTAGAGTTAAAGTCTCAATTTTAGATAGACGACGCTCCATTTCCACGTGTGGAATAACTTCACGTAACGACTGAAATATATAACAATGTATAAAATAAGGTATACAAAGGTATATGTATTCGGGATTCCTGTTCTTTTTTTTTATAAATCAAACTAACGTAATTAATACTACATACATTCGAAAATGTTTTCTTTCATTGCCTGGTTGATTTCTTCGCTTGCCACACTTCATACATTACAATACATAAGTGCATACAATATTTAACATAAAATATGTTGAATGGAGACACTGCATGACATTACCTGAAAAGCGTCATTTAAGCTGTGCATTCTCATRCGTTCGCGCTCATTTGACTCCAATCGCCGCAGATTACGCTCCTTTGCATTGAGAACGCCTTTCCTACGCCGGCTTTGTGTGGAGCCTGTTAAGGAATTCCTAGCGCGGCTGGATGGGCGTGCACTACCACCGTTACTGCTGCCGCCGCCTCCGCTTGTATCGTCGCTCTGTGAACTTGAATCTGTCATTTCCATCTCATAATTATTATTGCTTAACTGAAATGCAAAGGGAAAGAAATTGTTCTACATTCTGCTGGACTGTCATGAACTACAAATGAACTACAGTTACTTTACTTTCAACCCACATATAACTAAATGCGTATGTAACACAGATATAACCAGCCGGGAAATGAAAATATTTAATAAATCAGTGTATGACACCAACCCAATTTTACGGGCGATTCGATAAATATTTAGTTTCAACACCTAATGAAGCCACTGTCATGTCGGACATTTTCGTTTGAGAAGAATACAGATCATAGTTTTATTTCAAGATCGTGCGAAAGGTCCCAAGTTTAGGGATTTTAGAAAAATTATAATAAATGATTGGATTCTTGTTTTTATAACAGAAATTGATCAGTGGATTGGTAATTTAACAAGTTGCAAAGTGGTTTCAGGAAGGCTTTTAAAGATTCATGATCAAATAAGTACATATGTACATGTGTAAATGCAACCACAGTGGCTACCACGACAGATAATGCGACATACTTCCGTATTATATTAGCAGAACTATAATTGAAGGTGCCGGTTGCAGAAATATGGGGTCATATGCCAAATACCTGATGTTAAAGAATATGCTAATCTGTGCTGAAAGTGATTRCTGATTCCACTATATTGACTGAAARAGCACAAAAAAATGTTTGGAAYGGWGATAATACTYTCAATGTAAATTTTGGATGGAAAGACCCATTTGTCATTTCCGTCTGCCTGTCCGTCTCTCTAACTGTATATAAATGAACTAGTCTCTCATTGTTTTAGATATCGATATGAAATTTTTCTTATTTATTATAATCGCGGAATACGCTGCTCCACAAACTCATCGATCAAACTCAAGTCCCTGTATGAACAACTTTTTTATTTTACGGGTAGATTATTATCCAAAGCAGCGTTACAAGCTTTGAACAAATTACTTTATTTGACAAGATATCTTCACGAAATTTGTTAATGGAGTATTTTCCAAAAACAGTACTGCATTCTTCGCCCATTTTTTTTTTTGTTTTAAATCGGATCCAACTTTCCGACTAAAATCAAAATAAATATCTTTTTTACTATTAAGAAGGCGAAGTTAATTTTTTTATTCTTTTTTTATAACATAAAAATACCTGTGTAGTCCTCTGACTGGCTCGTCGTACTGGTCGTGATGATCCGTCCTGTAAATCAATAGGTGATATTGGATTCTCAGGATTCATGTTAGGGTTGATTTGTTGTTGATGCATTTGGTGTTGTTGTTCCATAGTCATATATTCATGCGATACTAGTATATCCGAAATATGATTCGAACCCATTTTGATTTCTGTTATATTTAAAAGTAAAACTTTTCCGTAATTTCTATACACAAATATTTAAGCATTTCATTTATTACATAATACATTTTAGTTTGTCGGTGCATATAATAACATGGTAATAAATTTTCAAGCACAGGTGCTTTGATGTAAAAACTTAAGTGTTTCTAGTACGTCAGTGGAGTTATATAAGTAGTAAGCAAACACGCCGGTCATGCACATGTGGCATTATGCGAGGTGCCAACACACTCCTGTTATTAAGATCACTACTGCTTTAAATATTATTATTTCTTAAATTTCTTTTTGTGGAAATGACTTGTACAAGCATTCCTGTTTCCACGTATTCTTATGWTATATATTATTAATTGATCGAACATGGTCTGGATTTATGTATCCTTTAATATAAAGGTTATTATTGCATATTATTTGTATTCCAGAGCATATAGATTGACACATCTTATTCCTTTTTAATACGCTTTTAYTAGCTTCACTTGTATGAATGTATGTATGTTTGTTTGTAACTTTTTTAAGTGGTACTGAAACCTAGAATATTTGAGCGACACTGTARGAAGGCGATAGTACRTTTAAGCAGCTCACCAAAAACATGAGCTTAAAAGTATGCRACATCTATATTAAACTAGTTTTGGTGACATTTGAATAGCATATTGAGTTGGGCGTTAACTGTTCATAAGATGCAAGGTTGTACAGTAGATCATGCAGTAATTTATCTGGGCTATCGACTATTTGCTGCTCGACAAGCTTATGTAGCACTTAGTCGTTGTAGATCTTTGGACTGTATTCGAACTGAAGAACTAGACTATTCAAAGTTGMAAGGTAAATCCCCATGTAATAGTGAAGCTTTAAAAGGAATGATTCGATTAAGAAGTAATAAGTCGTAAAGTCGCCAATATAACTTGGTCGCAAATAATATAACAATTAGTCAATGAAAGGTTACGAATAGATATTAAATGATGCCTAATTATCGATTTACTTAACCAATACTACATGTGACAGTTCATATTTTAACAAATTTGGGGTTTATCACATCAAACTGAAAAATTAAAAGTAAATATAGTTTTAAAAAACTAAAAAACACGTTTTTAAAGCATATCAAACTAAAAAGTGAAAAATAATTCTTTGTATAAACTAACAAAAATAATGGAGGASAAATCCCTGCATTGAGAAAAGCGTGGGGTGCTTTGTGACATATTTTTCATATATCCAGTATTCCACGCTATTTTTACAATAATGCAGGAATTTTTTTAAGTGTTCATTCAATAAATTTCATGYGTTTCTTTTATCTTAGGTAAGCACAAATAAACATAAAAATAGTGCTTTCAAGGTCATATCTCAAAATTGTTCCCTCAAGACCAACTTTTCAAGACACCGAAAATTTCGGTTAATCTGTGAGGTATCTTATAKAATCACAGAAAGCACCTTTTTCTGTAATATAATAATAATGTTATGAATCTTATAGATAATCGTTGTGGAAATTGTTTATGCTCTCCTTCTCAGTAAGCCATGCGCCGACATTTATTTATTTAGTTAAGTCTATGAACATTAATTCTTACAGACTAGAAAATTAGGATGCTAAATAGAATTCTAAAATAATTAAATTAAAAGTACATAAGTAATTAACTTAAACTAAAAAACAGAATTTAGGGTATTAATGAAGGATACCGTAGAGTGAGAAAAATCAAGAAGAACTTTTTCGGAAATCGAGTTAAACTCTCGCATAGCACGCTTGAGAGGAGCATATTCAGCAAAGTTAGTACCTGTCTCTTATACACATCTAGATGTGTATAAGAGACAGGTAGAGAGGAGCATATTCAGCAAAGTTAGTACTTTCCTTTATATAATAAAATGAGGAAATAGATCTGAGACAACATTGGGGAGCATTGAAGTTAATTTTCCCTAATAAATAGGGACAATCAATACCTCCATTAATAACATTAAAAACAAATGAAAGGCAGAGAACGGACTGACGATTTTCCAGTAGTTTAAGATGTAAAAGCAATAAACGGGATGTATACGATGGTATTGGGTCAACAAACTTAAGGGAGCGGAGAGCAAATTTAAGAAAAATCTTTTGAACACGCTCGATCCTATTAATTGACGATATGCAATATGGTCTCCAGATGAACACTGCATACTCCAAAATGGACCGAACAAAGCATGTACATATATTTCTCCCAAAAAATTACGAAAAGCTTTTCAAATAATAGGATAATCCCCATAATATGAACAAGTATTGCAATCTTCTCTTCGTTCTTCATGAGTACACTACCCTACACAAAAAAAGGAACGTTTGGAACCTAGCGCGGCAACTCAATAATTTGGACTTTGCAGATGACATTTGAAGAAGTCACTAATCTAGTCGAACTGGCATGTACTGTCTGACTTCAAATAAATATCACAAAAACAAACGCCATGAGATATATCACTCCAGCAGAAGTGAAACAAAGGTTGAGAATCATTAAATTAAGTTCATCGACAACTTCTGATACCTCCACAGGTTCTGCTACCTCACAAGCATTTTAACAATCGAAAAGCAAGGCAAGTGCGGCATTTAGACGACTGCTAGCTTGCAAATTTCCAAAGTTGTACGAAAGTGAAACATGGCTGATTTCGAACACAATAACTCAAAGTCTGCAAACATTCAACAACAAGGGTCTACGAATCATATGCAGAATATTCTAGCTCCAAATTAAAAAAAAAAAAATCAGGCAAGCAGAGAACAAAAAATGCGGCCGACACAGATTAACATGGAAAAGGTCAGACCTGCGCGAATTAGCCGATCCAAACCCCTCCGAAAATATCAGAGCCTAGATGGTGTGAGATGGTGCAACCTATTAGAGCTCTTATGCTCGAGAGGGGATTGATAAGAAAAAATTGATCATCTACTATAAGAATTTTCAAACATCCGGTTGGATTTACACCCTATATACTTGTTAATCTGAGAGGTATATTAATGAAACTAATATGGCATGTTGTTATGGTAATGTTATAATGTATTACCAAGAATTAATACAATCGGGTTAATACTAATTGTAGCTCTTTGAACCTAATATAAGAATTTAACACTTGATTCTGTTTTTTTTTTATAGGTACAGGGGCGACGCTTTGCGACAAACTCAAGTGTAAGTCAATGTATTTAAACTCTTAAAGTAATATACCCACATACATATGAATATATAAAAAAAAATTAACAAGTTTTTTTAGCTTCGGTTCCAATCTTTGGAATAAAACAGCTGACTATCTAGAGACCGATTTCTCAATGTCTGATTAGCRACCATCTGTCAGTTAAGTTCAGGTTTAAAAACAGCTAACCAGACATTGAGGAAACGGCCCTAAGGATGGTAAAAAAAGAAAAGAAAATATTAATTATAACAATGTTTAATGCATATTGCAACAGCACGAACTATAAGAATCAATATCTTAGGCTCATTATAACAGCATCTTCTACAATATACATATGTACATAAGTATCAGCTTTCTATCTTCTGCGAAAGTAATTGTCTCTAATTATTTATGAAGGATACTTTTGTACATGTTTCAAGCTGTGCTGCAATGATTCCGGCTTTCTCCGTGGATGTAACGTAAACCTTAAAAGTTCTCATTAAACTAAAAGATATTATCAGTACAAATCAAAGCCGATCAAAAAAAATATCAAAAATTTACAAAATTTTGGCGTTTTACAAAAAGTTCAATTTTTTCCCAAAAATGTTGTTTGGAGAAACGAGTGTTTAAAGATAAACTGATGGAGCTGATTGAACTGGGCGGCTACCCTTTAAAAGGCTGTAACTCAAAAAMTATTTGTGATATCGATTTAAAGTTATTTTTAAAAATATAAACATTTAAATATGAAAAACAAGATTACCATAAATAAAAGAGAAAAAAGTGCCAAGGGGTAAAAGGTGGGGGAAAGGCAAAACGAAAAGACAAAAAAAAACTCATTTAAACATTTATTTATAGATATAATTAATGAAAAAACGGATCTTCTGAAATCCGTTAACTACCATGATTAAGTTTTTGAACATCCTTCGAGCTTTGGAGGCACCACTTCAAACATTAAATGGGTAAAGTGCAAAATATTCCAAGAGCAGTGAATATCAAATTTCCGAGCAATAAGTTATATGTATACTAAATACTTTTTTTTGCAAAATTTTTAACAGCTGCGTTAAGTTCCTCCACTTTCGTATCATGGAACTGCCATAGAAATGAATTAATGTCACTGTTAGTATGAAATGTATTTTCCAGATTGACGCGCATTTTAAATTCGAGGATTTGTATTTACATAAATATGTACACTGGAAGACAAATATTCAATCAAATATTACTATGTACCATTCTAGGTATATCCAGAAAATTTAGGAATTTAGTTTGAAAAGTTAAGCTTTCGTTTTCATCAACAATGCTTTTATTCATTTAGAATAATTGGCTGGCAACTATTATTGTAAATAATATATAAACTGATTTCGTTAACATTTTTATTAAATTATAAAAGGTTGAGTTATTTACAGCTCATACTTATGGACAATCGATGTCTCTCGGCACTTGGCCATAAATGTCCCTGCAAGGTCTGAAATCACCAGCCGTAGTAAGACAGCACCATCGAAAATTAATCGTAGCCGTTAAAATTTTACATTTTTGTGTCTGCTTATAAAAACAGATTTAATTTTTAACCGATATTTTTCTTCTAATTATAAAGTTAATATATTTTTTTGTTTTTGTTCTGAATACATGCTTCTGTTTCGAAATATATATATTTTTATTAATGAACTTCTTCGATATTGGTAGTCGAAAAAGTCTTTTCGTATTTCTAATAAAACTTCTACTTATTTTTTTATATTTAACTATATTAATAAATAAATAAACAAATGTGTACCATTTTGGTCGACCACTTTTTGTCATTTTTCCGCCAGAGACAACTGTGTAAAACTTTCATCAGTATTAATGAAATTTCGAAATTTCCAGAACCGAAGCGGGCGAACCGTTGTTGTGCTACACGTGTGCTGACTTGCGTGGCAWTCTTCCATTCTTCCTTTCTTTATACAAAAATTTTTAAAATATACCGAATTTCTTTATTATTTTCACTCATTTTTGAATAGCTGTAACTTTTTTTCAACTTCCTCGAATTTAATTTGTTTTGGTTAAATGAAGCTTAAAATCTTACCTTTWYWACCCTATACGCTGTGATTCAATGTGATTGGTAGCACCAACATCTATTGACAAAATACGAAAAGACTTTTTCGACTACCCAATATAATTGAGTAATAAAGTATTTTGAGTTGGATCAATCTTGACTCAGCTAGTTTACCCCGGAGAAGACGTGACATGCAATTTTTATTTATATATATGTATATATGAACATATTTCCAATTAAAACAAGTAAGTAAAGACTAAGTTCAGGTGCAACCGAACGTCTTATACTCTTGGAACTAGTAGGAATCAAAGCCAAGGAAATATCCTAAGGTGTAAAATGTCAACCAGAGGATTGGAATCCAAGCAATTTTATATACATATACATATACTATGTATAACTCATGCACTGACAGATACAAAAGGTTTGTTAGAAAGACAAAAATCGTTATATATAATATACGAGAGTTGGTGGTAACATTTTGACCTGATTTTGTCTTTTGTTAGTAAGCCATATATTAAAATAATTTTCCCTGAGTTTCATAATTTACCTCACATATAAACGCCAATGATAAAGCAAGGTCAGCCGGTTGTTCTAAAATGCTGATATTAGTTATGCAAGGGCTAGGCGAAGTTTTCGCTCAATTTTATCTATTTTAAGCACAAATATAAACTGTTTGAGCAAAACACGCGCACTAATTTTTATTGAGATAACTTACATATTGGCTAATATATTCGGTATAGAGTCATCCTTAAGTTTGAAAATCTGTATATTACAAGCRGCGTTCCAAAGCAAACAGGACTTARAAAAAMACAGAACAAATCAATTTACTTTAATCAAAATAGTCTGCTACAGTCCCTCTCACGGTCCAAAAGCATGTCAAACCAGTGTTTTAGCTCGTTGGCCGGTATGGCCGCCAGTATGCCGGTGTAATCCTTTTRCATGTCCTCTACGTCTGCATAACGCTTTCCTTTCATAGGCAAATGCATTTTTCCGAAAAGAAAGAAGTCGCACGGTGGCATGTCAGGTGAATACGKGGAGCCGTCGATCAMTGAGACGGCGCATTATCGGGCAAAAAACGCCAACTTTCATCTTTGCGATATTCGGGCCAAACACATCGAATATGGCGCACCAAACGCTTCAAAACTCCAAGRTAGAATACCGCATTAACGTTTTGGCCGGGTGAAACAAATTCTTTGTGAACAATGCCCTTGGAATCTTAAGGACAAATCCGCATTTTCTTCACTTTTGACTTCTCCATGCGCGAGTTTTTGGMTTTCGGCTCGTCCGGCGCCTTCCATTCAACACTCTGATGTTTCGTTTCGGGATCATATTGGAAACACCACGTTTCGTCAYCAGTCACARTATGGAATGGAAGTGTTTAATGATGTCCCTCGAATGTTGAATTCTGAGCAATTTTTGGTCGTCAGTCAATTTGTGCTTAACAAACCGTGCACACACCTTTCGCAAGCCCAAATGTTCRATAAAAATGTGATAAATAGATGTTTTGGAGATGTTCAATTCCATTTCCATGAATTTCAAAGATAATTTTAGCAGATTTTTGATGAATTCAAACATAGTTTTGATGGAACTTCCGGTGATCAATTGAAACGTTTCGGTAAAATTTGACCCATTTTAAAACAAAATTTAATGTTGGCTTTTTGATCGTAGCTCATTTTCGCACCGATAACACTTCCAATCGATGAAATGTCAAGAAAATCTCACTGGACAATCGATAAAGATAGCAGTTTACTTTGGAACACACCTGTTGGAGAGTATTGACCCGATTCAGTAGTTTTTTGATACACAATTACTATTATCAAGAAAATATTCTCTATGAATTTCAATTGCATGTCTCACCCATTAACCGCTTTTTTCGGTCAAAAGTCATAGAGGCTTAAACAGGTTTTGTTGGATTTGGACTATTTTGGGTCATAAGATGATACTTTAAAAAAATTATTAGTCCAAAGTTTTACCCCGTTATATCAATTGCTTCCTGATTTGTGTACTGTGTTATATGGGAGGTAGGCGTGGTTGTAGTCCGTTTTTGTCAATTTTCGCACTGTGACATAGGGATGTAAGAAGAAAGCCACAAACTAAATTTAGTCGAAATCGGTTTGGAAGGCTCCGAGATATGGGTTTTCGCCAAAAAGTGCGCGGTGCCACGCCCATAATCCAATTTTCACATAAAGCACTCTTTTACCATCTTTGAGGTTAAATTTAATGTCACTGACATATTTAATTATTGATTTATAGCGCTTGTAGTAGTTTTTAACCATACCACTATATATTATACAACATGTTACAGCTTGTACGGGTGGACAGGCCGACGGATTTCAATTCTTCTCGTATTTAACCCTATATCTATCTCGCTCAGTTTTAGGTCATACATGCAACTGTTAGGTGAACAAAGCTATTATACTCTGTAACAGCAGGTTGCAAGAGTATTAAAATATTACTGGTAAAATCAAAGTCGCTTGTTTACCTTATGCAAAATCTACAGTTTTATTAAACACAAAACATAGTTTATTTAAATACAAAACATACGTCTCTAACACTAGTAATACAACGCCCATAATCCAAGGATGTAATTAAACTTATAAAAATGTAATCTCAAAAGCCGTATTGGTTTTAATATGAAATTGTAATTATTGTAAATTGTAGACAGTTTTTATTTTAATCTTTCCCTTAACAAGCACACATTTATTTGGTTTAAGCGAATTTACCGAATTGTACATTTTACGTTTCCGTAATTGTTAGATAAACATCTTTCGGTTTTGAATCGTATCACGCAGGTATGTTCTTTTTTTTTTTTTTGATCTCACATACAAACGAAGTTATTCGGTTCGACTTAAATGGAATTTCAAAAGTAAAAACTTATAAGTTGGGGTTGCTTTTCGGTGTACATGCCAACGAGGTATATGTGGATGGCTGCAGGTTGGAGGGAAAGGCAGAGACTGGTTTGCTGGTTAGCTTTAAACTGCAAAGCTAATGAGC